ATCTTGAAGGTCCTTTCCAACCTTAGTGATATTGTGATTCTGTAATTTCAGCTTAAGTCTGAACCTTGAGCATGACTTTCCAGTTGGATGCTTTTCCTGCTATTTCTTAATGAATTTCTAGCCCCTCTTGTCTCCTGGATGAAACTAATTCAGTGCATTTGTATATGTAATTCATCAGTACAATGGTCCTGCTGTTTTGAGGCTTCTTCCTGCAGTGTCTTTTGATGGAGAATGACCGGACATTACCAGTGGACTCTACGGACACTGTATAAAAGCAGTTACCTCAGCACAAACTTGGGCATTCAGCAATTAATTAACCTGAGCTACCCAAGTTCTTTATAAGTAAATTGTAGGACTGGTTGCTTGTATTTACCTAAGCACTGGCTGCAGTAGTACTCAAACAGCTTGGGGAACTGTGCTGTAGCCAAAATCAAGTGTCATGGTTCACCCAGGACACTCAGTTGTCAATGAGTGAACACCCTGTATGGTGGGGTGTTAGTAAAAGGAGAAAAGTACCCATAGTAATATGATTTAATGGCATAGACCACCAACAGTTATTTTGTGTCAGGGTACAATGTCTCTTTAGTGTAGCTATTTTTCCCTGATGAGAAAATCCCTTGATACGTTAGCCTTCTGAAAAGCCAGAAAGCCTTGTTAGTGTGGGATTTTTAGGTCTGTGTGTGCCATTCAGAGAATCTTTTTATGTTAGAGTAACCTCAAATCTCAACGCTAGGCTTACATATATGATAGTACCCTCAAGGTTTCAGCCAAGAGAAATAGTGGTCTAGTAAAAGCCTACTACCTATAGGTGATAACCAGATAATAGGGGTAAGTGAATTCTTTTGTAATGTGACCTGTAAGTACTATGTGTTTTGCTATGTGAACTGTGTATGAAAATGCATATCACTTAATTTTTATTTTCAAAGGTATGTTTCCACTGTAGAGAACCTGGCCATGGTGTTGCTGATTGTCCTGCAGTACTTGAAAGCCAAGAAATGGGTACAGGAATCTGCTACCGGTGTGGATCCACAGAACATGACATCAGCAAATGCAAAGCAAAAATAGATCCAGCAGTTGGTATGTCTCAGAAATTTGTATTTTTCAAGATGCTTTGGTCTGAGTTTTCTGATTTACTGAAATACAGGTTTTGCGTTTTAGTAATTTAACTGTTCTGAGGAGATAGGTTAATATGTTTAAAGGAATACAATATTGTAATAATGAACCTAATGGTGTAAGAGACAGTATAGTGTTTATAATATAATAATGCAGTAAAATATTGCCATTATAGTGTGTTCACCATTGCCTGTGACTTTACAATGTGGATCAAAAACTGTGTGGGATTTTGCAGGGGCATTTCCATATGCAAAATGTTTCATCTGTGGTGAGATGGGGCATCTATCAAGGTCATGTCCAGATAATCCCAAGGGATTGTATGCTGAAGGTGAGTGTACTAATTTAGTAAAACCAAAACACATTTTTCATACTTACCTGATACGGAACAAAGTAACCTTGTAAGTGAATGAGGATCTAACTAAAAGGAATTTGGTAAAAGCAGATTAATTCTAGGGAATCCAGTGTTAATATTGATGACCTAGGGATTTCTGTTTTAATTGTAAGCTTAGTGTTAAAAAATGAGATGATATGCAAAGTCTGAGAACTTGCTTGTGCTTGCAGTATTGAGAGGCACACAAAGAAACAAAGTCATAATAGGCTGTATGTATGTAGTCAGTGTGTATTTAAATGTACATATACCAAAGTACGTGGTAAAAACATACTGTCATACTATATCTTAATACTTTGGGAGGTGTTCACACAAAACAAGGTCTCTCACTAGAAAGAGGACATTTTCAGTTTAAGTGACTTTAATAAGAAATGTGATCTAAGTTTGAAAATTTTACTCAGATTCTGCTCTGCCCAATTTCTCTGTTGGCATTAACAAATAGCATTCTGTCTGCCAGTACAAACCTGAGGTCTTGCAAACTCAAAAGGGTAATGTTACAGCACAGTTAAATTGGAAGAAAAATAACTTTCAATGTTTGGATTATGAGTAGAATTTATATTTCATATCTCAGTACCTGCAGTTGGATTCCCTGCCTCTCCAGAGCTCCTGTTAAATTCAAAAGCTCCTCTGAGTATCGATTTCAGCAAAAATCACCTTGTTTCTCAAAAAGAGAGCTTCTAACAAATCAGAAATACTCAGTATGTGGTGAGTGGAATTTGTAGTATGTGATGCTTTACAGAGCAATGCGATTACAAACAGGTCTTTCCGTCAGAGAGGCAGAGGAAGGTATTTGCAGGCTTCCAGAGCTGGCTGTGCATCTCCTCCACAATGTTATATTATTGTGCCACAGAGTGCAGACCTGGCCATAGGGATGTTTCCTTATCTTATTTACAGGTTGTCGCTACAGATAAGTAGAATTAGATTTAGATTAGATTTTTCAGTATATTACATGTATAGCAAAACAGTGTAAGAGGGTTGTTTTGTGTTTGGTTTTTTTGTTGTTGATTTGGTTTTTGGTTTGTTTTGGGTTTCTGCCACGCCCCCCCGTGTAACAACTTTCTCTCTTAACAGGTGGTGGCTGCAAACTTTGTGGCTCTGTGGAGCACTTCAGAAGAGACTGTCCGGAAAAACAGAATGCAGGTGAGATGCGGGGGAGTGTACAGAGTGGAGTTTGAGTACACTGTTGAGTAATGTTTATTTAGTCTTTTGCCTGACTTTGGTCAGGAAAAAAGGGTTTAAGAAGATAACTTGCAGTTAACAAAGGTGACCTTCCTTTGGGGATGAATCCTTATATTAAGGGGTATGTGGAGGGGGCATTAAGTTGCAATGCAAAATTTGAACTTTCTGTTAAAAAAATTATCTAGCTTGTGGGTTTCTGAAGATAATATGAGCTAATGTTAGCTTGTATTTATGCTGCTTCAGCAGCTGTAGAACAAAACTGGTTTCTTCTTTCGGTTTGTGTTTGAAGTGGTGGGACTGAATATAATGTCAGTTGCAGGGTAGCTGCAGCTTGTAAAAGCTGTGTGTGCAGGCAAGTGTTCAAGTCACTCAAGACAGGAGAGAAAGAGGAGGCAGGAGATCTCTCCAGCTGGATTCACCAGCTAATGAACTGCGTACTTACATGTTCTTCAGTTATCTGTGTGGGTGGAAAAATTGCATTATTTACAGAAAAACCCTCTGACTTCTTTAGGAGGCAAATGCATCAAACAAGGATGTAAAGAATGACTCTGTTACTGAAGTGGTGATACATTTGTGTATTTTTCTACTTTGTTTGCATGCCTTATAGAACTTTTGGGTTAATAATATGTCACTTTTGTGGAATTTATGTAAGAAATATTTATGGTGGCAATAGAGGCCTATACTTCAGACATTTTCTATATCTGATCCTATATATATGATGATGTTGCATCTGAGACCATACATGACATTCTAGACATGTGCTGCTTTGCTAGCTTAGAACAAGTGAGATTGACTCTTAACTGGTGTGGCGTAAGTTTCTGATACGAAAAGACTCTATAAAATTTCCCCAAACTCATCAGCCATCACAGATTGTTGGGTAGTGCCCACGCAGGTGACTGCTGAGTTGAAAGCCTGTAACATAGCCCTTGTTGAATTTCTGTGCACCACTTAACGGCAAACTGCCTTTGTGCAGTTAACACTTCTTGCAACTCAAAAAAACTGTACAGATGCAGCAGAAGAAAAGAAACCTTTGCAGGGAACAGCATTGCTCAAAGCTGGGCAGCTGTTACCAGAACATGGCAGCCGTTGCAGTCTGATGCAAGTCTTTGTGCTCTCTGGCAGTAGGACTCTAAATTGCATGGGAAACAGAACTGGAATTTTGTTCTACCTTTTTTTGAGAAGTTTTGTGTCCATAAGGAAGCCTGACAACTTGTGTTTACTTTCCCAAGGAACACAGAATAATAGAACAGTTTGAGTTGGAACGGACCTTTAGCGGCCATCTAGTCTAGCCCCCCTGCAATGAGCAGGGACA